GTGAGGTTTCTTTGCTTCTGCATGTACATGACTCAAATTTTTGTTCCAGAAGTTGCAGTTGTTATTACAACCTTCTGTGCCTCTTTTTTTTTTTCTTTCTTTTTTTTTTTTTTTTCTTTCCAGTTTACAGTGTGAAGTCTTGCATCCTGATTTTTTTTACTACGTCTGCAATGCAACTGGTGTGGTGGTTACTATTGCTGTGGCTATGAAATCTATGCTGGTTGTGGTGCGCAGGGGGAGAGGACAAGGTTTGCATGCTTGAGATCACGAACAGAATGGACAATTATATAACCCTATGCAGGGAACATCGTCCACAGGTTGTATTTCATCCTACTTCTGAGACCGTCACTCTTCTGAGCTAATGTCTTCACTAGCAGTTGTTGCTATAACGTGGATATGGAAGTCTGTGACCCTTACTCAGTTTACTGTAACAGAAGCCTGGAATTTCCTTTGGTAGACTATAGCCAGGACAGTTGTCAACTCCCTGTGAATGAGCAAACTGGTCAGGGCCAGAAGAACTTTGGGAGTATTGTAGCACCAGAACTTCAGCTAGGAAGGAGAGGCTGTAAGCATATTATCTTGAAATGTGCAAGTTGCTTGAAAATTTCTAACACAGAAGATAGAACTGTGGCTAAAAGCATTAAGAATCATCTGGTAACTTCAAAATTTTAAATTGACTGCTTCCATGTCAAAATTTCTCTACTGAGCCAAGATTTTTCTCTGTTTCCACTAAATAAATGCACACATGCATTTCTTTTTAGATGTGGACTTTCATCAGTGACATTTTGCCAAAAAGTTTGAGATTCCCCTACAGTTTGTTTGAAGTAGAATTCTCAGACACATAGAATAAGAAGTGCAGCAGTTGCAAGCAATTAACTTTTCCTATTGCTCCTGAGAGGATCAAAACGAGACTCTAAATTTCAAGGCAAGTTTTGGGATTCTGTGCTTCAAACTCTTGGAGGTAACGTGATGTGCAACTGAGGATTAAGATTCCTTCAAGCCAAGATTAAGAAATAGAAATACAAAGGTATATTTATCTTCTATGCATGTATATGTGTATATATAGACAAACATGCAAACTCCATGTCAGTGGCATGCTGTACTATAAATAAGAAAATACTCTAAGCTTTTATTAGAGCAGCTGTTTCCCTGCATTTCATACACATTTGTTTTACTGATTTAAAGATTTATTTTGGGCTTTTGCTAATGTTTGATGGTAATTTTTTAAAAATTAAAATATTCCTCTCCTGGCTTACTCATTTTATAGTATATCCTGAGAATTATTAGTTTATCTTGATGTGCCTTTTGTATTTGATAGGCTATAAGAAATATTCTGCAGCACTGTTAGAAAATCTATCTTGGGATGAGAAAGGAGCTATTGGGAATAGGTGAACGGTTGGACTGGATGATCTTTTAGGTCTTTTCCAACCTTGGTGATTCTATGATTCTATGATTCTATGAAGGAGCTGCTAATATTTATTGTTGTTTTTTTTTTTCCTCCTGGTGCTTGTGTTGAGCTTATTGATTTATTTTATTTTATTTTATTTTATTTTATTTTGCATTGTATATTAACTGCAGAAGTAAGATTTAATCAAACTTTATAGGAAGCAACATCAATTTTAGTTATTTCTCTGCAATGTTCTTCTCCTTTCTGCATTCACTTGGCAATTTCAAAACTCAGCAGTGAAAGTAAAAAGAAACAAGTCTCCTTAATGTAATGCTAGCTGAAGAACAGCTTCAGTTCTATATTAATGCTGGATCCTAATAATATTTTTAAGTACTATGACTAATATTCTTTGAATATTGTCGTCTTCAATCATCTTCTTGTAGGATCCAGAGCCCAAACTTCTCAGGAGCTGGTAGTTTGGTGGTAGAAATGTTCACTGCCTAGGAAGGTGTTCTCATTTTCAGAACATATAAACCCCACCACAGATAAACTACACACTGATAAATGAAAATAAATCCTTTATAATATGCATAAACTCGGAGTTGGGCGACTGCTTGGTTAGAGGGGACAAGATGGTCAAGAATAAGGGACATAGATGTTGTGGGGAGGTGAAGATGGAGGAAAACTGCTAGGGAAGAAAGCTTCTCATTTTATCTACGAGTGTGCACAGCAGACACCACTGCTGAATATTTGGGGTTGGTTGGTTTGTTTGTTTGTTAAACAGGCAGCCCATTCCCTAGTACAATAACAGCTTGTGACGCAGTCTAAACCTCCTAAATTTTTGGCAGTCTGTTGGAGTTGTAATGAGATGCATTAACGCTTAAAGGATAATTAAAGATAATGAGGTATAGAGAAAGTGGAGTGGAAGGCAGCACACTGAACTTCTGAAAGCCAGATGATGGCAATCTGACTTTTGTTGAAAAGAGCTGATTTTCTAAATAGAAATTTTTATAGTTTGATCTGAATACATACATAGCAACTGATGTGATGCCAGATTGCAAACTGTTGGTTAAATGGGAGAAACTAGGATTTAAGAGAGAAAATGTGAATGCATAAGGGCCTAACATAAAGGAACTGAGAGCTGGGGGGAAGCTGGGTCAAGAGAGCTCATTACAGGAATTTCTGTGGATTAATTTTTAGACCAGTCTTACTTCATGTTACTCCTTTAATGACAAGGGTACACATAGAGGATGTTGCTGCTAAAATTGTGGATGGCTCAAAGTTCAAAAAATCTTCTCTCCATAGAAAGAATGGTTGCATGGAAATGTATGGGTGATTTCCTAGGACTCGGGCCCAGAAACTGGGGAGATCTCAAATATTTTTGTGGCGCAAAATAAGGTTTTGCCAACACCAGGCTCCTTCCTCCTTTCCCTGGGAGCAATACGAGTGGGATGAAATTTGGAGCTCTAGGGCATTACAGTTCAAATGTCAATTATAAGATCTGAGGCTAAATAATGGAAAGGATGAAGGTGGATTGGACTACATAGGGATTGAACTAACGGCGTGGAGCGGTTATGAAGGAGGTCTATGTATTCTTGGGAGGCAGTCACAGAGGATGTTTCCAGTAGATGGAGGAAATTACAGGTGGTGTTACAAGCAGCAGCGGGTGAGACATTATTTGGTACACTTCCAAAATAGTCGTCTGGTTTGTGGAGAAGAAGAAAAACTGAAGCGTGTGGAGAGACAGGCAGCTAAGGTGAATGGGGAAATGGTGTCTCATCAGAGTAAGCTTGGAGAGCGTGTCTTGTGCAGTCCAACTAAAGAAATGGTCTGCGTGTTGCCTATAAATACACAGGTGGAGACTGCTGAGGGGCTGGGAGGAACTATTTCAACTGAAAGACGATATAAGCAAAAATACAAGTGGGCATAGCCTGACCATTGCTAAATGTAGTCATAGAACTTGAAGTTGGAATTCTTTGGAGTCAACGGGAATAGTGAGTCTTGGTCTACTTTTGCTACTGAATCTTGGTGAGATTTGGAAATAATTCCTTGATCACTCGATGTGTGAAAATTCCTTAATCACCCCCAGCCGCCCTCCCCTGACGCAGCTCCATGCCGTTCCCTGTCGCTGTCACACAGAGCAGAGCTCAGCGCTGCCCTCCGCTCCCTGTGAGGAGCTGCAGCCGCCATCAGGCCTCCCCTCAGCCTGCCCTGCTCTGGGCTGAGCACAACAGGGCTTCAGCTGCTTCTCACACTCCTTGCCCTCCAGAGCCTTCTCCATCTTTGTAGCCCTCCTTTGGACACTCTCTAATAGTTTGATGTCCTTCTTAAGTTGTAGTGCCCATAGTAGTGTAGTGCACACAGTGCTTGGTGAGATAGCCTTGATGAAGTGTGTAGTGTGATGGAAACCATAACTTGGCTACTTCTACTGGATTCTCTAAGGTAGGTGAAATGAATCCAAGCCAAAGCATTTAAAATGGATTAGGCTTTGGAAATAACCAGAAAAATGGACAGATGAGGCAGGGCTGTCAGTGAGATGTTCGACCCTGCAGAAGTCTTGAGAGTTTGATCTTCACTATAAATTATTCCTTTTGTGTTTGAACTAGAAGAAGAATTTCCTGATTTCCAACCAAAAATAATTCCAAGAAGAAAAGTTTTTGTGAACGTGGGATGCAACATGAGGGTTTGATCTGAGAAGGTGTCTGAGCAGTTTGGTTGCTGAGGCCTTCCAAGTTGATTGAATTCAGGCTTGTAGGCCAAAACTTGACGTGATTTGATTCCTACTTGTCCTAGACATTGCATGTGCTGGTTACAGAGATACTTTTGGTGATCCTTGCTAGTAGTTGCTTGTGGAACTCAAGTCTAATTTTTTTTTGCAATGCAAGTAGTGTCATAACAGGCTCTTTATATGAGTTATCTTAATGCCATATGGAAAAAAAATGTATTCCATATGCATATGGATTCCATATGCATAGAAGAGAGAGAAATGATACCTGAAGGAAACCCGATTTTAAGAATCTGAAACAACTCTGATATGTTGTATTGCTGTATTGCGTGTGGATCTCAACAATTTTGCTTGTAGCAATGTGGCAGTGGAAGAAAAAAGCTTTGCTTTTGGAAGACAGAGTTCCATGGCAGCTGTGACCAAGAAAGAATGCTGTTTGATTTCACAGTGTTTTGTAGGAGATGCAGTGGGTGAAATATCTGGGCTAATAAATATTGTGCTGGAGGTCTTTTACTTAAGTGCACAGACTATTCAAATGCAAGTTTTTCAGTGCTATGTCTACAGGTTAATTTTCCAGGTTTATATTTTTCTTTTTATTCAAGGTGATGTGTTGCTAGTGGTTTGTACCCTGCTAAAAGGGTTTTCCAGTGTTGCCCTCAATTTGGTCATTACCTATCACAATCTTCTGGTATTCAACATCAGAAATATCAGCTGTTAAATTTTATCTGCCTAGTTTGTCCCAGTTTTTAACACCATCTGAGCATATTGTCAGATCACTTTGGGATTTTTTTTTTTCCAAAACCAATGGCAAATTTTAGTAATTTGTTTAAAAATATATATGATTAAGCTTTCTCCAGTTCTTTTCCTAATAGTGCTTTTTATTTACAGATAAATTTGCGCCTCATCTTGGTAAGCGGAAAAACGAAAGAGTTCTTGTTCTCACCAAATGACTCTGCTGCAGATATTGCAAAACATGTGTATGACAACTGGCCGATGGGTAAGTAGCTGTGTGCCTCTGGCATTTTAATGGCAAGTTTGAACTTTCCCTCTGTTTCCAGACTGAAGTGCTAATAAATGTGTTCTCAGCATTCAGATTTATGTAAAGTAGAATTGTCATCTTGCCTTTCTTAGATTTAGATGTCTTGACTGTTTTCTTCTTTGTTTCTAAAACTCACTTTCCCAGACTGAAGTTACTTCTTTATCTTTAGATACTTTTCTTGGTTGATTTTGGTAGAGGATATGATAAGTGGAAGACCTCAAAATGCTGGGGATACAAAGCTACTTACGTGAGGAGAGCTAGTGGAAAACATGATGTGTCACAGAAACACATTTGTGGTATTGAGTCTCAAGTTTTTCTCACTTACTGCCTTATCGTGGGAAGATCTGTATTAATATTTTCCCGGGGAAAAACAAAGTATAAAAGAACATTTTAAGAGGAATTAAAAGACAGAGAGGGAACTAAGAGTGTTTATATGAATATATTTGGTGCTGTGCAGGAATTGAAGACTAAGGTGTATTATTCACATATGTGAACAGTTCCATAAAGACAAAGTGCTGCTGTTTTCCCTGAGCATGATTTCATGGGAAAGTAGCCAAAGCAGAGACATAGCATTACATATGATGAAAGAAAATGCTTCCTTTGGTACAGGATTTCATCTGGGTTACTATTTTGATGATGAAAAAGACTATTATATGCACAAGACTACAACACTGCGATATCTGTTTCTGTTGTGTCTTTATCGTTGGGATAATAAACTGTGCCAAAAAGTTAATGTTGATAATCTGTATTTTAGACTTCAAGCTTGCCGTCTTTGAGGTCAGTAAGAATAGGAGTTTTCATGGTTGCCCATTTTGCTGGGATGTAGCATTATTGTAGCACAATATGTTTAGTAAAATAAATAATGAAGGAAGAGGCTTATTGTCTTCTGAAATATTAGGTACACAACACTTCTACGCTAAGAAGTCTGGTTGATGTCACGTATTTGTAGCTGCTGTACGTATTTTAATGGGAGTCAATAAAGTTTATTTCTGAACATGGGATCTTGCAGTCTAAAGCCTGTATGATGCCTTTTTAGATGCAAGGCAAAATGTTGCAGTGTTCAGAAGCGAAGGGTTACTTTTTGCTTTCATCTTGTGTTGGGCCATTTGATTAGGAGGTCTTTGTCAAACATTACTTTAGGCATGTGAAGTAATATATGAACTAATACTGAATAACAAGGGAAGTCATAATAATTGAAGTGATTTTATGCCACTACAGCAAAGCAAGTATGTTGAGTGGTTGTAGCATTGAGTGATACGGGTTTGCTTCAGCTCTCCTTTCCATCAGTAAATGTTTAAAGCCAGTAAAGGCACTGTTTTTGGTAACCATAATGTAAGTTAACAGAACAGCATCAAAGGTGCATTTATTGGCATATATTTAAAAGTTAGATAGTATTTTGTTATTCAGATACGTTTCTAATATGATCTGCTCTTACTGCCACACGAAGAGCTTGAAAGTTGCAGACTCGGTTTATACTTGAGAAGAAACTCAGCCTTTAAAATCTCATCTTGAAGCAAATGAAAAACAGAACTGGGCATGGGAAGCATCAGTTCGATTACCTGGTATCCCTCGGGAGCACTCTGAATCTTCTTCATGAATATTTAATTGCCTGCACGAAGAAGGATAGCAGCAATTTAAAAGACTGAGGAAAAAACTACTTGGGGAAAGTGTGTAGGTTTTCATATACATTATTAGCCTATCAGCTTTTTTTGAGTGAGAGCACTCCTCTGTGCCATAGGACTGAGAAACCCGAATGAGGACAAAAGTGTGTTTGAAATGGAGAGGGTATGAAATCACTGTTTTTACTGTCGTTGTGACTTGTCATGATCTTGTGGGGAGGGAAAAAGCCAACCATGAAGTGTCTTTAGTCACATGCTAGCGAACTTAAGCCAAGCTTCTCTTCCTCCTTTGGTAATGCAATTGTTGATTAAGGATTTCCTGGCTCATAGTGGAGAATGCTAAGTTAATATCCATGTATACAATATAGGTAGGTTTCCTGTTTCCTTGCATCCCTTTTCTTCTAAATAACTTTAAAAGATGTTTTGTTCAGGAATTATCTGTTAAGCTTTAATAAGAAGAATTTTTTTAAAAAGTCATAGGTAAATATTTTTTCCTTGGTTCACTTAGTCATCGTTGGAATTTGAAAATTGAAGTAGTGTCAGAAATGTTTCAGATTGCAAGCCAAGAAGCAAGAATTAAAAAGATGGGTAAATTGGCAGGTTAACAATGAGAAAATACCTCTGCCAAAATACAGTCTGTTGTCTTCTGGTTGCTGTTCTGTATCGCTATGGTACTGTAAATTGGCTGATCTTTACAGCCAGAGTCTCTGTGCAGTTCAGATGCTATAGAGTAAATATGATTATGTAAACCTGGTACCTTCCAAAAAGCAGTTTCTCCTGGCAGTGTGATAATTCCAATCCTTAGCTTACCCCCCCCCAACGCAGCAGAAATGGCACGTGCTTTCATTGCCAGACAGTTGAGTCAGATGAGTGGCAGTATTTGAAATGGCTCTGGTTGCCAAGTTTCATCGAAGCTCGTAGCCCAGGCCTGCGCCCGGTGACCCTACAGCTGCTGCCCTGCCTACCCACCCGGCCACCCTCATGCTTCCACCCTCATGCTTCCACCCTCATGCTTCCACCGGCTGCCCACTGCTTTCCCCCTTTCCCTTTTCAGTCCTCCTTTTGTGGTGCCTTGCCGCTGTTTGTGTGCTAATTGTATGTTCCCAGTTAACAGGTTGGCCTCTGTCTTCGGTCACCATCCCCTGCTGAATATTCATTCTGGTATACAAACACTACAAAAGCTGCAAAAGAGCACATTTGTGAGCAGCTGTTAGCAGATATCTGGTCAGCTGAGAGACAGAAGAGGCTGCTCCCAAAGAGCCCATTTAAATGCAACATTTAAAGGTTTTTATATTTATTCCAAAAGCAAAGTGCAGATGTATTTGTTCATATTTTTACAGAGAACAGTGAAAGAGTAGGAAATGATCATCTCAGCTTATAAATGATTTATTACGTCCTAGGAGTTACGGGAAATGCATTATAGGAAAACGTATGCTTGTTTTTCCCGAATTGCTATTTGCTCCATAAAAACATCCCCAGATTGTTCTTGGAGACGTTCCTTAAAACATACCAGTAAATGTCTCCTCTGTGAGAGCCCTCTGTTCGGCCTCCCGCAGTGACTGGGCTGTTCAGTTCCCTGCCGCCTCTGGACATGGAACTGGCTCAAGCTGGTCGGCATCGAGCGCCGCTGAGCAGCCCACAGTCTGCTCAGTTCTGTGATCTGGGAGCCCTGTTTCAAATGGCCGGTCACATGCAGTGCTGGATGCGGCTCCTTCTCAGTGCTGGAGAAAGGCTCCAGTTAGACAGCAGAGTGGGGAGGATGAGAGTGGCCTGAGAACCCCCTGAGATGTGCAAGGAGGAAAGAGGCAGTTTTGGCAGAATGCGTATTAAGCATCAATGTAAACAGGAGTCAGCTTGCCCTTGAAGCATTTGTTGTTGTTCAGGACTTGTATATATGCATCTTAACTGTCTCATGCGGTCGGTGAGATAAGTTAATACTACTTGCACTTGCAGGCGTGCAATTAAATGTTTCAGTGCCTAGCGTCAAGTAAGCTTAAGAATGCATTTCAGTTGAATTGTCTATCTTCAGTCTGTTCTATCTTCAGTCTGTGCTCTCTGCAGTGTTTCATGCAGGAGAGTCCTGTACCTGGTTTTCTTTCAGAAGGTGGGAGAAATAACGAGGTGTTACTGCAACATAACTGAAAATTCTCTTACTTTTCAGATTGGGAAGAGGAACAAGTCAGCAGTCCAAATATCTTGCGGCTTATTTATCAAGGGAGGTTTCTTCATGGCAATGTGACACTAGGAGGTATGAAAGTAATTTTCATTATCCATGCTACAGCAAGGCAAAGAGCGTTTTTATTATTACTGTTTTTTTTCCAGTGCAGTAAATATTACTTTCCTGTTCGTGATCACGGTATGATTTGCTTTATACTATTTTCCTTCGGCATGGAATGCCATGTTGTATCTTATCTTGTGTTTTTCTGTTCTATTATGACTAGTTGTTACAGTTTGGGATGTACCAACTGGTCAGTTTAGACTCCTGCAGAAATAAACGGTAACGCTGCTTTTATTTTTTGCCTTGCCAAATGGAATATTTTTTCCATTTTTCTTACCCTGATTTGAGGGCAAGTTACTACATAAACACTTCAGTGTTTTAAAATATTGGATAAAGATTATGATAAGTGAGTAAACAGTGCTTTAAACCTTAATGCGATGAAGACAGACACCCTATGAATGAGAATGAGGGGCAGCATTCTTGCTGTCCAGTGCTCTCCCAGGGATACAACTGCATGGTTAGGTGAAAATAAAAGTAGATGGCTCCACTTCATCTACTCAGAGAATGCAATTCAATTATGCCCCCTTGTGGCAACTTTTTCTGCAATTATGTACTTTTTTAGATGGCTCTCTTGGGTGGAGATGTGACACGAAGTTGTGGCAGAGATCGTTCCCTTTATCTCTGAAAAGTTGGCAGAGTTAATAGCAACTTTTGCAATGAATATATTCTCTTCAAGCCATTTCAAAAATAAGCATTCTTACCTTGTCTGGGTGTTCATGCGTTTGCTTGATTGCTATACAGAGAAGATAATGTAATACAAAATCACTAATGAAATGTTTCTGAAGTTCCTCTGAACCAGGAAGGAATATTTCTGGACTGCTTATGATGGTATTTCCATTATGGAGAGATTGGAACGATACTGCCACTGATTCATTGCCTACCATTACTAACATTGGCTGATGATGTACTTTTAGAATAGGTTTGTCCTCATATAAATCAATTTTTAATGCTGCTATATGCACTGGAAAGATCATTGTCAATTAAAGGAAAATCTGAGATTTTTATTCACTCTTTAATTTGTATGTTTACCTGGTGCCAATGTGTGTAGCTAGTAGTGGTTGGAGAAAGGCTGAAAGACAAGTGTTAACTCTTGGATCATGTCTGCAATTACAGACGTGGATCTTGCCTTACATTTTCCAGGGGGTTTTCTTTACCGTTCACCTGTGGGTGTTGTTTTTAACTACTAGTGCTTGTTCTCTTCACTGATATCTGTCTGAACCTGAAGCAGACTTGAGTATTTGTTGAACAAGCTATGCTGAAAAATAATAGCTGTGTGCTGTTGACTTTTACCTTCTCTCAATCCCTGTGTTCTAAGTGCTTTGGTTCTGGGCATTTCAGTTCATTGTTAATCATTCCTGCGTTGCGATTGAATCATCATGTTTTTACCCTAAGCACCTGACATACCTGACATGTATGGTAGTGTTTTTCAAAGAGCTTTGCTGCTGTCTTGTTTTTAATAAAATGAAATAAAAAAATAATATCTAAAACAGTGGCTTACTGTAGTAGGAATGAATTTATCTGGAGTGAGGTAAACAGCTCAAAGAGCAACAGCAATTCCTGTAGCAGCCTGAAAAGGCTGTTATTTCATTATTACAGAGTTTCTACTAATAACATGAAGTGAACTCGTGAATTTTAAAAGTAGGGGGAAAAAAGCTTTCTTGTTAAATACAATATTTAGTTTCTAATGCCACTGTAATACAATTCCATTATGCTTTTCTATCTGCAGCTCTCTGTAACTGCTATAGCACTTAGTGTTTTATTTGCTTTGGGTGATTAGGAAATGTTGACTGGAATTTGAACTTACTGTGTACTGAAGCTTTATCAACTAGTGAAACAAGAGTTTCCAAGGGAACTGTGGTGTGGCTTTTTAAACAGGAGTCCATTTTTATCACATTTAAGATGACGTAGTAATGTTCTTGCTGTAGCCTCACTGATGCATAAAAACTGAGACTCCTTTAAATGCAGAATCCTCAAAAAAACCAAACCAAAACAAAAAAAAAACCTGAAAGAAAAGACTCTTCAGAATGGAAAAGTGTTTTTTAAAGGAATCATTTATTTCACCACCTTTTCTGAATGGACTGCCACAAGAAATATGTTCACCTAAATCTTGTGAATAAACGTAACACTATGAAAAATAATGGATTGCTGATCTGGATGGTGGGTTGTATGTTGTTGAAATGATTAGTAAAATGATTATCAAATGATTATGGGGGTTGGAGTCAATGATCTCTAGAGGTCCCTCCTACAATTCTGTGATTTTATTAAAAATGCTGTATGCAATATCTGAAAGATAAAACCTGATGAGAAGAGAGGATCTGATTAATGTTTATATCTAAAGAGAGATGGAAGGCAAATGGATGAGGCCAGGCTCTTCTCAGTGGTGCACAGCCATAGGACAAGGAGCAATGGCTTAAAACTTGAACATAGGAAATTCCATACTAACATGCAGAAGAACTCATATGCTCAGAGTAACAGAGCACTGGAACAGGCTGCCCGGAGAGGTTGTGGAGTCTTGTTCTGTGGAGGCATTCAAGACCCAGCTGGGTGCCTATCTGTGTGACCTACAGTGAGGCACCTGCTTTAGCAGGGGATTGGGCTCGATGTTCTCCAGGGGTCCCCTCCAACCCCTACAGTTCTGTGAAGCAGCCAAGCTTATGGCATTACAAGTGGTAAAAAAAATAAAGTGTCTGTAAAGCTTGTCTTGCCACCCACGGTGCTTCAGATACCCTGTTTCCTGCCTGTGCCAGGAGCGAGGGAATCAGAGAGACAGTTGCTTGTTCAGCCTCCAGGAAATTTTATCCTTTACTTACATGTTTAGTCTGCAGTTTGCATTTGAAATGATACATTTGAAATAATTAGGGAGTTAATACGTCAGTGATGGTTCTCTTTGTCTTTGTTAGTGGCTGTAGGCAATATCTTAACAGAAGAGGGGCGGTTATCCTGCCCTGTGCTGTACGTGTACTAAAGAGAGAGTGAGAAGGGAAATCTGACATTAGAAAATCTGGAATAAAAGCAGAATTACGTTGATGAGAAAGGAATTAACAAAGCTTTAGTTTAAGTGAGACAAAAGAATGAAAGAGCAATGATGATAGCAAAGAAAGGATTAGTGGGCTTAGTTTAGGGAGCTTTCTTTCTGTCATGGTGCTCCAAAGCAAACAGTTGTTGGAAATTGTTAATAAGAACTTGTGTGAACTATGCAAACTATTAGCTGAAATAAATTAACAAAAAAATTAGCGTACTTTTTGCTTGATTACTGTAAATAATTAATCTCCACGGCTCACTAATCAAGTCTCCTTGAATGTCTTCATATTATATAAGATGTCCCTAATGTGATTAATTTGTGAGATCTTGGTCTTTCTTGAGCCCAGGAATTTATGTAAGGAAGAAAATAATTTACGTTGAGTTTAAGAGGCTCTTTTTTTAATGTGCTCTTTGCGGAGTTCTCAGTTGTATCACAGGGATGAGTGCCCGAAATACTTTATCCTGTCAGACTGCGGGCTGTTAACAGCTTCTAGTTGCAGGCCTCAGGTATACTAACCAACTTTCAGATCTGTTTTTTTCTAGCCACAGCTGTTCCTTCAGCTGCTTTTTATCTGTGTAGCCTCCGAATGTTACACCAGTGTCATGATCAGAACTTGATTTCCCTTCACGTCCATGGCTAAATCATTTTTATTGCCGATGTCGTATCTACACTTGTATCAAAAGCAAGTAGTGAGCAAATCATGTTTGTTTATTTTACTACACAGTTCTCTATCTATGCAGTAGTGATTAAAATGAATAAAAGCATTTTCTCTTCAATTATTTCCAGATCCATGAGACATAAATTTATTTACTTAAAATTATTTGATGCACTCTGTGTGAAAACAGAAGTAATAAATTGAACTTCAGAGGAAAAATTCTACTGCAGTCAAAATGATTTGCATGTTTAGGGTGAAGCCATTGTTGTTCTTCTATTTGTCACCAGCTTTTCTCCTTCTATAAATCAGAAATAAAACCACCTTAAAGAGAGTGCATCTTTGCATTGGCTAGAAAAATAACTAAGAAAGGTGTGTAGGATTAGGAGTGAGGAAACAAAGCTAAAATAATGTAAAAAATCTTGTAAAAATTCTTTTAAAAGAGAAAAAAGTTGAAATTCTTCATACTGAACCTGGCAGTGAAAAATTGTTAAATGTAATGAACAGTAGTGAATATTTTGATTTCAAGGGGAATAGAAGCCTTGGTAAGTGTCGTAGCGCAGTGATAAATCCCTGATGCAGCACTGCACTGGTATATTTAAATCAGAGTGTGGAAAAGAAGTGTTTCACCAGCAAGCAGAATGAATTGTGGAACTTGTTAATAAGGCCCACACAGACAGCACTGTGAGGAGTAGCTTATCTGACTTTGTGTTCTAAATTTGATGCTTTGCACATGCAGTGACCTCACACTTTAATATTAAGAAGTAAGATGCAGACACTTTGCATCTCAGAAATCCACATTATGGATGTGTGTTTTAAAAGAATGAGTTTTGCAGTGGTGGCTGGTATTTTGAATGTCTCAGAACTAACAGTGTAGTGGCTGAAATAGCCATTTTTCCCATCTTTATGAATGAAGGGCACTTAGTGCCTGAGTCTAAGCCTTCCTCTTTCGCTCAGAAGACGATGATTAAATTTCTTTAAAAGAGTTTCAGAGGGCTGGAGCACCTCTCCTATGAGGAGAGGTTGAGGGAGCTGGGCTTGTTTAGCGAGGAGAAGAGAAGGCTCCAGGGAGACCTCATTATGGCTCCAATGTTTGAAGAGAGTGTATAAACAGGAGGGGGAATGGCTGTTTATGAGGGTGTATAGTGATAGGACAAGGGGGAATGGCTTTAAACTGAGACAGGGGAGGTTGAGGTTAGATATTAGGAGGAAGTTTTTCACACAGAGGGTGGTGAGGCACTGGAACAGGTTGCCCAAGGAGGCTGTGGATGCCCCGTCCCATTCAAGGCCAGGCTGGATGTGGCTCTGGGCAGCCTGGTCTGGAGGTTGGTGACCCTGCACATAGCAGGGGGTTGAAACTGGATGATCTTTGTGGTCCTTTTCAACCCAGGCCGTTTCTATGATTCTGATGTGATATGATTCTATGATTTCTAAGAACACCGTGGCTTAAGTTGTTATTATTGCATCCTAAGATGGTAAACAATCTACAAAACTTTTGACAGGAATATGTTTTGATAGTAAGTAGCTCAAAGCTTACATATGAGCTTCTGAACAGACTGAAATCTGGTCAACGTTGGTTTCCGTTGATAAAAAATTACTGTAATGTATTATAAAACTCCCTTTCTCCTTTTGCAGCATTAAAACTTCCCTTTGGCAAAACAACAGTGATGCATTTGGTGGCTAGAGAGACATTGCCAGAACCAAATTCTCAAGGTAAGCTGTACACTAGAAATGCTTCTTACTCAAATATGTGGCAAAGTAATCGTGTCTCAGGCTTTAATAACTATTTCACAGCAGAGAAGTCTTGTGGACTTGTGAAATAATAGAATATTTTTGTATGAGTTATCTATAAAAGACAAAGAAATTATGCTTTCTGTTTTAGCATTTTTGTAAAATGTGGAGACTTAACCAAACCTTTGAAACATCAGTTTTTGTTGTTAAAAATACTCCTCGTTTGCATGTAGATAATAACAATATGCATTATTTTTAGTACAAAAAAAAGTGGTGAGTACGTTCTTCTCTTAAGCATACTCTGTTCACAAGTAGAACGATCTAATCTTTTTTGAAACAGCTTCTGAGCAAAACTTTCTTCTCGCTCCACAGGTCAAAGGAACCGTGAAAAAACTGGAGAAAGCAATTGCTGTGTAATCCTGTAAACCCTGTTTAGCTTTACCTGCTAAGTGTGATGTAATATAGTCTTTGTTTTTCATGCTGCTGGAATAGAAGAGGCCCTACCTTGCTTCAAACACCTGTAGGAAGAGCCTGTCTGTAAATCCATGGAACTGAAATATTACACGAACACTGTCTCATTAGTCTTTTTTTTTTTTTAAAGAGAAAGATCTATGAACACTTTCAGTGTTTTATTTTTAATTCCTGCTTTTTGTTTGTTAAATAATCCTACAGTACAACAGTTCTTGAAGGAATTTGATCTCTGGAAAACTTAATGTGTTCTTTTCCATAGCAGGAATCATTTTGCTACCACAAAAAGCTCTATTAACCAGATCTAACTAGTCAAGCTTTCTAGATGCAATTTGCACTAAGTATGGTTGACATATTTCTCATCAACAATCTGTAACAATATTTGAAATACCTAGTAGTAACCTACAATGTATAATGCAACACTGGAAAATAGTATATCTGTAATGAAAGTCAATCTCATTTATGGCCAAATCAAGGGAAAAACTTCAGTCAATTCTACCTGAGTCAACCTGAGTGGTGGCCGACCTGGCACAGAATGCTAACTAAACCAACTCTAACTATATATATTTTCACTAAAACAAAAACAAAACGATGTGCCTGTAATTTAAAAGCACTCTGTAGAGGGCTGATGAAACTAATCTTTTTCGTTACTGTGTGCACTCTTTATCTCGTATGTTAGGTGAGTGCTTAATTCAGACAGCACAAACAAGTGCAGAGAGTGCATTTCCTAGCCTTAATATGGGAGGGGTAATTTCCTGTAGTTCATAGGCTTTTATTATTGTGCATAAATGTTAGAAAACATCTACTAATCAGTTTTATGTATTTGAATATTGACAATTGGTGTTTTTCAGTCACTTTCTCATCTGTACCTTAGTGTCCAGTGTCATGCTTACTCATTAGAGCCTTCAAAAAGAATTATTAAAGTTTAAAAAGCAAAAAGAAAAACCTCTGCCATAGTACTAGTTTTGTTTCTTTACGTAATCTGCATTTGGTATTAGTGCTTGCAATTGCATTAAAATCAGAAGCTGATTTTTAAAGGCATACATAATTAAGAGGATGCCATTCTTTTATTTCATATCAATAATTTAAACGTTGATATGCTAAAGAAATTTGCACAGCACTAAAGCATGAGCTAGTTTCATCTAAATCTGTAAAAAAAAATAAAATAAAAAAATTAAAAAAAGAAAAGATTTTATATTTTTTTCACTGGGGAGGAATTCTTCCTGGCTGAAATTACAAATATGTGTAGAATATATTTAATAAAAATCTTATAAAATACTTAACTATAGAAGTTAAATATAGATTGGCGTGTAGTATAATAGAACAATATTCCATATAAATAGCTTTAGCCTTTAAAGAAAGTCACAGGTTGACATTGTGTTCTGTACTTATGTGTCCTCAACTCTTACAGATGTTCTATATAATCATTTTTTTTGAATGGTTGGCATCATTCAAATGCAGTCTGGTTATTTTATCCATTGTTATTGCTTTGATGAAATGCTTTATATGCAGTAGATTTACAAAAATATTGTTCATACTGATCAGAATTAAATTTGTATAGAGCAGAGTTTTAAAACAAATTGTAAATAGCACTAAACATTTTCTTTCTGCAACCTGTACTGATAGACTCCCCTGTAAACTAAATAAAAAAATATTGTAGTGCATTTTGGTGGTGCTTTAAGGGCTGTGATCGGGTCCATAGCTGACTTCAATAGCACTGAATCTGGAAGCTGAATGAGGAATTTGAAGAAAAACACGCGCTGAGAACTAGAAGTGGAATTCTTCTCTCCAGCTTTGTTTTCACTGGCGGGGTGATCTCAGATTTTTGAGCGCTTCAAACCAATGCTGTGACAGCGCTTCAGCTCCTCGGGGAAGGATGAAGTTGTCGGCACCAAGTAATTAAATGGAAGGTGGGAACATTCCTGTCGTGTGACCGCACAGACAAGTTCCTGGGCAGGGCTGAGGTGTGCTCTCACGGTAAGCACGCGGCGACTTGTGCGGCTTCATTTCATGTACTTTGTGAACAGCACTGAGTGGCACAGGGTTGGTTTTTTTCCTTGATTGGAGAAGAATACGAACGTGGGCAGTTGCAGTTGTGAGTGTGCTGTGGTGTCTGGTGTACCTCAGAAGCTTCGTGTGCTCATCCTGTAAGTTCTTTTAGGCTTAATGAAAAGCATGTGCATGCCTTTTTGGTGTTAGGAATTGAGGTGACAGCATCATTCTGTGTTCATTGCCTAGATGAACTTGGGAGGGAATTCCTTTTAATTTAGTGTTGTCACTCAGTAGGCAACTATAAAGAAACCAGTTTTGATTTAAAAGTTTGATAAACATCGACTTAAGTATGCCTCTAGTGGCATGTTATCATCTTTATTTATAAGGTAGAACTTCCCTTTTCCAGAATGTTGCCCATCTCTGTATTTTGGGAATTGGTTATGACAACACAAGAAAAAAAAAAATGGGCTGATGCAGAAGGTGTTTTATTAGCTAAAGAAGTCTTTAAGATGCATGGATTTTAAAAAATGTTTGAAAGATAAGCATGCTTTCAAAAAGTAGTTAGGTGCTTTTATGCTGTATGAATACATAAAAATCCAGTAGGTTCTGGTCAAATTATTTGGCAGGCTTGAATAGTGAAGTATGCGGAGTTCCCTTTTGTTGAGACAAATAAAATATATGTGCTTGTCCAAGCAAATCTAAATACTGCCTGACATTTAAAATGCGAGCTTGTCAAAATGCAGCTCCTGCAGAAACCAGACAGGACTGTTGCCTTAATTTTCACTCAAGTTCTTAGAGCACAGACCATTCTACAGCACTTTGTCTGTGGTGACAGACGAATGGAAAACTACAGAGGAGGGTGGTTGAAAGATCTGCGTGTTTTCCTTGGGTGCTTTGTCTTGTGGATTTGTCAAAGCAAAAGTGGCAGTTGTTAATTGCAGATTGCTCTGCCTTGCTAAAGCTCGTGCATGTGTTTCTCTTTTCTGTTGATTGGAATCAAGAGAGTACTTGCAGACCATAAAGATTAAGACTAAATCTTTGCAGGGCCGGGCTGTTGGACAGTGCGCTAATGTATTAGAGCTCTTGACATTTGATTCTCACTGTTGAACAGAAATGATATTCTCCCAGTGGATAAGTTAATAGGTGGCATTAAGGATGAGAGGAGAGGATGAATCAGAACCCTTTATATTCTGAAATGTCATGGAGGGATCACATCTGTCTCCCACACCACCACGTGTGCTCTGGGTTGTAAATCAGCATTAGTACACAAGAGGAAGTATGCCTGATAGTAATGAAAGTACTCTTATAACTTTCACTTTCTTAAATGCTAGTGTGATGTAACTGTTTCAGCAGCCTTAGGGACTTGTTTAGCTGCTGGAAGGAGAAAGCATGGCCACCGGTTGGTTTTTTTGCTTGGTTGGGTTTGGCTGTGCTAGTGGTGGTGCTGCTGTTAACCCAGTGGTGATCTCTGCAGTCTAAATGCACTGCTTTAACACGCTGCCTTTACAACAGGAGGTGCAGTGACTGAATTTAGAAGAAAAATATATGGCACACTGAAAAGCCTTTTCTCTTCCTTTGTAGGTAAGAAGAAAGGCAGCTGTTCCTAGGCTGGCTGAGAGTCAGGAAGGAGCTTTTGCTGCTGATCCTTGGGGAAGTGAATGCCGCGTGCTTTGTGGTTTGGTGTGTGCTCTAATAAGATCCATTTTACAAATCTGTCTTCAAGAAGCCAAGCAGAAGGTGGATACGTTCCTCTCTAAAGTCACTAATATTATACTAATTAAATGGATAAGCTTAAGCAGATTGTAGGTTACGTCCTATCAGAATTGATGTTTAAGACATTAACAGTTGTGCTATTGAAACTGGTGGAACTTCTGTAATTAAGTTGGAGGAAATATCAAGATCTTTGAAGAGCGAAGAGTAAAGAACTCTTATCTCCTTCTTCTGGGATAGCTATGTTCTAGATACTGAGTCTTGACCATAATTTGTGAGAATCAAATTTCATTTCAGAGCCCAATAAGAGTCAGGAGACTGGCAATAACACGTGGTTTGTGATAACAGCTGGTTAAAGTCCTCATGTTGTAGTAGCATACTTGCCAGAAACAGCTGCCCTGTGCCATGTGTATGTCCTACAGTGCAGTAACCAATTAGTTTACCAGTTTATTACACTATACTAAAATCCAGGGGGAAAAAAACAAACAAACTTTATTCTGTTTTATTTTTTTTCCTGTAGTTCTGATTCTCTTTTACTATTTTTTTTTAATGATAAAGGAATAGGCAGTGAGGTAGGAAATTGTAAAGGCTTTTAATATGAAGCTTAAGAGAAATCTGGAAAGTTCAGCTGTATGTTACCAACCATTAAATGGATCACAGTGAGAAATCAAGTTCAGTTTTGAATGTAAAGTAAGGCATCGTTAGAGAAAGCAAAGTAACTTGCACAATTGGTAGTTCTGCAGTTATCTGGATCATTCTGGAACTGAGCTGTGGGCATCATGGCAAATGCTTTGTACTGCACGTTCCATAGGGCTTGGGAAGTGGTAATAAAAATGGTCAGGCAACAGAAGTATTGGGGATACTGAAGAGAATGGCAGTTAAGCTGTCTACATTGGTGATGAGCACAGAGGAAACGGATGGAGAGCGTCTGCTTTTGCCTCAGTCTCGTTGGCCCAGTTTATAAATTCCTCTTTAAGGTAGAGGTGACATTCAGTTATGACAGGAATATTTTTCTTGAAATCAGTGGAAGTGACTTTCTCCAGAAATAACTGCTGAGAAAAGCTGAGCAGGATTTAAGAATGATGGGTTATTATAAGCATAGTAAGCAATTTCAGAACAGTTATGATCATTGATAAACCTTTTTTTCAGCAAGGTATTAATTTTTATCCTTCAGCCATTATGCTAACTTAGTGAGAGCTCTGCTCTTAGAGGGGGAAGAACACTTCCAGCACATCCCATCTCCATCGTGTGCAAGCAACAGCATAATAGGAGCCCTAGCCTGTAGCAGGCAGAGGTATCCTATGTCGTGGTAGGAATTTATCTTGACAAACTCACCTCAGAGTTGAGGTGATGTTGGTGCTTTCTTGGAGCAAATTTGAGGCTATAAGCTACTGTAGTTAAATGGTGGAGAATGTAAAGGCAGTAAGGAGGCTGTTAATGCCTCTTCTGAGACTGCAGAGCAAGATCAAAGCACGCTGCTCTTACCAGTTCAGAGGACTTTGAATTTGTAGGTAGTAAACATTTCGACTATTCTACAAGAAACTACATTGCAATTATTATTTTGTTTGGATAGAGACAGGATGAAACATGGAATCATTTCCTTACATGATGTCTTTCGTTTGTTGGTATCTGTTGATATGGACAGTCCAAGACAGGGAAGTGTGTACTGGTGTCTTTGTGCTACTGCATGTATTATGCTGGCTAAATGAGGGAGTGACTGGGCTTTAGTTCCTTAATTTCTGCAACTCATGCGTGTTCCTAAGTAAGAATTGCTCATTTCTGGTACTGCTGTGGCTGTAGCAGGAAGCAGAGCTGGCAGAGAGCCTGCAGCCCAGCCCCAGGAGGAGCTGGCATCGTGGCTGTGCACCCTGGTATGGGATTAAAGTGTGTAGGTCTGGAGCGTGCTAAGATACTGACATGGAAAGTCAGCAGGCACCCAGCAAAGGGAAATCTGCCTTCTCATCCTCTGAGCAGTGACCATCTCTTCTCCATGAAAGTTTTCCAGCTTCCGTCCTTCTGATTTCCTGCTGCCTGGTACTTCAGGATGCAGAGATCACCATGGGACACCTGCTCTGTTCATCCAAATCCACACCAACGGCTGGAAAACATCACTGGTGTGGATGCAGTGGCACTCTGCAACCATCTGCATCTAAGCCCCGGGATTTCCCCAGGGGCTGCTCTGCTGCCAGTGCACTTTCACCCTTGGGAGGATCTTGATGACAAAACCACTCCTTGATTGGTTGCTGGGAGGTGAAGCTGTGCCTCTGGGATGCTCTAAGCCAGCCCTGTCCTCGGAGAACTGCTGGAGCAACACAGGTCACTGCTGCTGTCACCTGTGAGATTTGGGGTCATTTGGGCTTTCCGACTTTACTTAATGGTGAAGAACCTTCTTCACTCTTCCTCCTGGAATGAGCTGGCCAGCAGAAAGCCGCATGGAGCTACCTTGCACCCACCTTAGTGCCATGGGCAGCTGCTGCTGGAAGCCTGTTGTGTTCCTCTGGTGCCAGAGCCTGGAGCTACTCCCCTCTCACGGGTAGAAAAATGGAGACAAAAATCATTTTTGTGCTTATGGGTCACAGAAAACACGAGTCTTCACATCATAAAGCTCCTGAAAACAGAGCATAATTGGCATCTGATGCACAGTGCACTGTCTCAGCTGCTGAGAGGTATTTAAATGTGAGTGGTTCCATTCCTGTGCATCTGGGACCTCACAGTTGTCACATCTGGGATGTGTGTGGGAGAACAACATAGGCGATGTGTTTTTTCATATGAAAATTTCAGGGCAAGAGAACTTAGTGTGCCCTTGTATCTTTGGATGCTCCCTGACTTGCCAGACCTGGGGACAGGCAGTGGAGCTGCAGAAGGATGGACTGGGGCTTACTGCCTGCTGAGTGACAGGATGGTGGAATGTGATGGCCCTGGTGTGCCTCTAGCCATGCACCAGCCCCAGACATGCTGGAAC